TGAAAATTCTGCTAAAACTCACGATTCATACATGGAGAAGCAAAGAAAGCAAAAAATGTGTCACAAGGATGAAGAATACTGATTTGTACAGCTTATGTGTTGTATATTTTTATTCAAATACTAGAAGATGTTAGTATCAGCCAAACCACAGACTTTCATTCCTCCAATTGTAAAGTCCCATTGCAACATGTTTGCCAGTGCATTGCCCACATAACAATGTGACATTCTTAATTCCAAATCATTGACTATAGGAAGACAACTAGCTGGTACAAATTACTTATTTCATACCTTATTATTACTAATTATTGTGTATCATTATTTTATATTATAATTATTTTTACTGTTAACACCCAATATCGCATGTAAAGAAAATTATTTTAATACAATTCCTCCTGCTACTATTTTACATTTGAGGTGTTTGATAATGGCCTTTCATGTTTCCATACTTTCCATACTTCCACCCATTATTTCCTGTCTTCTAGTGGACCAGTGTAGCCTCTGTTCCATCTTTTCCTTTTCTCCAAGTCCACACACTATTTCATTTTATTATTTGCAGATCTCTCCAGGTTGCCCAAGGGTTGTACTTTACAAAGGGCCCACTTTCTTGTTGAATGATATGCTGGTGTACCCTGGATTATAGGTCATTATGAGATAAGCTTTCAAGCATGATCCTGTCATGATCCTCACTGTTACTGGTCAATCACATAAGTGTATCCTCTCAATCTTCACATACCACTCACCATTCAAATGCCATATGTTCATCTCTCCACACATCCAAGGTTTTATGCCTATGCAGTCCCATCTTTCCTGACTATTAAGTGTCAGTACTTATATCCACTTCACAACTTCACCTGTATTAACCAGTCCTCACCTTTCTCTCCACATTCCAATGCCAATCTTAGTTATGTTTAATGACCTGGGCCCATTTTATACTCTTAATAGTGGATATATCTCCTCTTTATGTTTGTTAGCCTCACTGATTAAGGACTTAAATCTCCTCATTACTGCTTTGTCTGCACTCTCTCTCTCTCTCTCTAGTGCTAAGAGAATGGACGAGATACGCTTATAATTGCATCAAGTAGCTCTTATCTTGTAGAACTGCTGCTCAAACAAAGCCAAAAAAAAAAGGTTTTGGCTTCTTGTTCCTGTTGCTATTATCATAATATTTATATATTAGATACAACAAGTAACTAGTTAATTTTCTTTAAGGTTTTTGGGTAAGAGCCAATTAATGGGGGAAAAAAAAAGATAATCAACAAATTGTACTTTTCATTCGTATTCTGCTGTGCTGTCAAACTAATTCTAGAAGATATCAGTATGTTTCTTTAAATTGCTGACAAGTTTAATTATAAAAATCAATGGATATTTCTGAGAAACAAAGACATGAGAATATATAGGTTTTGAAATACTTATACCCAAACGAAAAATAAAATAAGAAAAAAAGTCCACATAGTTATGAATATTGTGTGATAAATATATGCAATAAATCCAATGATAAAACAAGTGCCCAGTGGCAAGTCTGAAAGCTAACACCACTAAAAACCAGGTTTTGATGCTTGTGGTAAACACAGCACAGATAGCCCATTGTGTAGCTTTATGCTTAACAACAAAAAAAAGATGAAATACTAATAACTAGCATGTAAACATTTTAAAAAGATATGATAAAGTTCACATTATTCATAAAGGCAATTAGATATTTAACATAATACTGATATGCATGGTGTGTGTGTGTGTGCGTGATACACATGTGAAATTGTCTTATTTCATCTTCTTTACGTTTTATTGAACACACAGAGGGTTAATTACCTTCTTAAATATGATTTATATATGCAAACCATGGCAACACAGGTGACATGTTTAGAACCCATACATCTGGTTCACAACAAACTTTTAATTGGCAATGCAAACTCAGACAGACTTAAGGCTAAAAATAGATTATCTGTATAAGCAAGACAGTTAAATGCTGTACTGCTATAAAGGATACAAAATATCATTTCAAGCAAGAGTGACATCAATCTTCTCTATTAAAGTAAAAAATCTTTTATAGCAGAATGTTTAAGAAAACAACAGACTAAAATCACACCACAACCCAATCCAGAGGACTGCTCTCATCCCCAAAGTAACAGCTTTGGCTACAAATAATAAATGCCTGATGCTAAGAAACCATAGCTATAAACTTAAAAATATCTTTTAGAAATGTCAACAATATAATCAAAACATACTTTCAGATGATGAAGGCTCACAAACCATAGTTCACAAGCTTTCAACCATATCTGAAGAATAATGGCTATTTTCATAAGAAAAGTTACAAGTGAAATTGTAATCACAGAATCAATTCTTTCAACCACATGTCTGTCAATTCCTCCAATAGTCTTTTTATGCCTGATCTGATTAACATTATATTGGAAATTGGTTTCCATGTATTTTAGAAAACATGCAAGGATGTGGTCTAAAATTGACCCCATCATTCTTTACAAAAGCTTGTTCCAATAGAAGCTGTGATGTCCCATAATAGTGTATAATCATGTCCATCAGAATAAGCATGACTGATAAAGAATGAAGTATTTTCAGTTGCAGTGAAAAACCCATAACATCATTCTAATAAAATGCAATTAACCTCAGTAATATGTGTAATACATGTATATTTCAAACATCAGCTTGATAATTAAAGTATTCTAAAAGATCTTTAGATACTTTATACTACCATAATTTATTTCCACATAATATTAAATAATATCTTCACTCTATTGTGTAACATCTAAACTTAACTTGACAGTTAGAAATAAGATATTGAACTAGTGATCTCAATGGAAAATCCAATAAAAGTATAAAAACTCTTCTTTGTGGTAGTTTCTCTAAAATCCAGATACTTTTTTGGTCCCAATTAGTCTGAAGTTACCAAACTATTGTATTCGTTCTGGTTTTAATTATTATGTTAAACACACACATTGAATCATAATTATTGGCTCACCAGTTACCAAAATATAGTTTTTGATTTAAATGTGTATATCATGCATAGTATTTCAAATAATAATGGAAATACACAGATGAATATTTATATAGGGCTCCTAAACAATCAGTAATTGCAATTAAATGATTATCATTAGCACAATATATTATTATACAAAATACAAAAGAAAACTGAACAAGTAATACAGTAGCCTATTATTCTGTGCTTGTTTCAACAGAACAATATACCTTATTTTTAAGCTACCATAAATTTATCATTGTATGATTATGAAGAATTTTCCCAAATATCCTGTATTACTCCCCACAGCTTCATTCATTGTTTGCTTCCTCTTGATCTTACTTTACATACAAGCCCATATGGTCTTAATCATAATCACACTGGAGTTTTGTTCAGGCCAAACCATGGTTGAATGTTACATCAGTCATTTTTTCACCACATTTACTGCATGATTGAGATCACAGTCTTGCTGAAATATGAATCTTGGCTAAACAAGATAATCTTGCTCCTGATGGAATGATATGACAGATAAGAAACTGATTTTACTTGTCAGCAGGCAGGGTGCCATCAATTCTGTGCAGGTCTCCAATACCATTGATTGGAAATATTGTTCAATGGAGAATATTTCATGAAAAACTTAGCATTAATGAATTGGTGGTACCATACTTTAGACAAAACAGTGTCAAAATGTTCAAAGGTAACTCAATATACTTTGGCTATAAAATTTGGACACTGTACAAGGATAATGGCTACCCACACAAATTAAAAATTTACATTAGAAAAATTCAAAGTGCAAGACCTGAAACATCATTAGGACAAAGAGTTGTTACACAACTGTTAGATGCAGTAGAAGAAAAGTCTTCATCAAAATACCACCATGACTTTGTCAACTTATTTTCAAGCACAAAAATCTCTTGCTGATAAGAGGTATAAAGCAATTGGAACTATTCATGAAAACAGAATAGGAGGAAGAACCAGTCAATCTTTATTAGGAACTAAAGAAAAAATATTGTGTCAGTTTTGACTTTCGCTGCAATGATGAAACTTAAGTGGAATGAGAATTTCATTGTCAATGCTGCCATGAATGAGTTTATACTGTACAAGTTATAGGAGGAAGCAGGTCAAAAATAAAACAGCCTAATTTGATTCATTTTTATAACATGAGAATGGGAGGGGTAGATTTGATTGATACTTTCTAGTTATGTACATACCAATGATGTAAGAAGAAGAAATAAAAAATGGAGATGTTGCTATAATTTTCATGCAAAAGAAAAGAAAATTAACAATATTGAATTTAAAAGAAATATTGCTTTAGTTCTGATAAAAATTCACCCATTGATGTGTGATTTGGTGGACAAAATCATTAACCAATAAACTGTGCTCAAGGCCGATGTGTGGTATGTTAAAAAAACACAAGATCAATGTGCAAAAAATGTGAACTATGCCTTCATTACAGGCGAGAAACTCAATGTTTAAGGATATATCATTCAAAACAATAATGTTTTTTTAAAGCCTATGTTTTCTAACAAATAATCAGTTTTCAGTTTTATGTAATGTTTTCTTATAAAATAAAAAATAATGAAAGAAAAGGGTTGTCTTTTATTCAATAAGTTCTGTAACCTTTATGACCTGCTATCTTAATCAGCTAATGTCCTCATATAGGAACAGGTACGCAACTTCAAAGTGAAATTTATTTCATATCCTGAATTAATAAGATACCTTCTCTGAAGGTAATATAAAAAAAAAACTAACTCCTTTTTTGGGGCAGTCGGTAAAAAGTTAATCATAATGATTATACAATAAAATGATGTTAATTCTATAATAATACTAATTAAAATTGAGTTTGTTTCAATTCAAATAAATGAGAGTTAAATGGCAGAAAGTACATATTTCCAGGATTTTCTTTTTAAGATTATTGTACGAGATCATGCCTCTTGTATTAGAGATAAAACATTGTACCCAAATAAATTTATTAGTACTACCCACATATAAACATTTCAAAAACTAAATATGTTTTAATAGGATATCTTACCTGCTCTAAAAGTAAAACTTTCCTGCCTTGAGATGATAAAAACCATGATGTACAAGATCCCATAATTCCTGCACCTATCACAATAACATCATAGTCAACTCCATCAGACTCTTCACCGTCGAAGTCACCTTTTTCCCGTAATGGGAGATAGGTTCGAAGCATAGAAGCCATCTTTCTAGATCAACCTTTCCCAGTGAACTACCATCAACCTAAATAATGTAACAGTTTGTAAGTAATGCATGAAAATATATTTTATAAAATCAAAAACTTACAAATTAAAACTTTTTTGCCAATGCTAAGTTTTATATTACAATGTTTATGTATTAGAAAAAAATAAAAATAAAACAATGTAGTTATGTGAAAGTTAAACATGTCAATTCCGTGCATACAGTGAAAATAACAATAATACGTTTTGGTCAAATATAGACAACTGGGTGCAGGACTCAAGATTGGTTCTCATTTATCATTAGTTTTAGATGTATGTTTATTAGAATCATCTTTAATATACACTCGTTGTTTAAATGGCAGGACAATACGTTGCATTCAACTTCACACGCTGAAGCCAGACGACGCGTAATATTACTCCTACCTTGAATCATGAACAAATTTGTAATAATATTCTGATAACGCACAACAAAAATAAAAAGTGGTACACACACAAGACCTTAAGTTGAAATTACACTTCGCAAAAACGGCAGTTAAAACTGAAAACTTGTATATTAAACGAAGCAAACATTCTTCTAGTACCACTCAGAAAACTAAATAAAACAATTCCCAACAATAACCAGAGTTCAATACAGAAGACATTACGAATATTTAAAAACACAAATCGTTTTAAACAAATAGAAACAACTATTAATGAGTTTATCTACGAATACTTACGTTTATGTCCAATCAAATAAATGGGCTCCGTTATTTAGAGTGGCTCACGCCATCACACGCTCATCGTTTACTCTGCGTTTTCAAGGCTGGAAAATGTCATGTGATCTACAATCCATCCAGGAAAAGGCCTTGGAGCATAACTCGTGCTGATAAAATCTTATTTATCGTTTTCTATATTCAACAAAAATGTTAACGTACTCGTACATAAATATGTTGAACTTTGACAAATCTGCTGAGATGATGAAAGATCGTAAGCTATGATTATCATTTGCATAGGAAAGCTTGATAAAAAATTGGATGGCCTTTCCCCACTGGTGCTGGTACGGGCTCTTTCGGTTTTATCCATGTAAAAGCCGGTAAGTGCATAATTTGACCGAACACCATACATATAATATACATTCCACCACTATATGAAACCTATACTTACTCTTTCTAGTTGCTCTTGTCTAGGGTTACTTATGAGGAGTGAAATTACCCGAAACCCTTACAACTTGGTGAAAAGTGTAAATCGATTGATGATTGGGCGTCACATATATTTTGAACTTTATTAGTTATACTATATGCCGTAACCTTAAAGGGCATGAACGAAATGTTGTAGTGAAAGATAAGGTAAATCAAGTGAGAAACACGAAAAGTAAACCCACAAGGTATGATGATTTCTTAGCAAACATTAACTTGTAGTTTCGGATGGGAATAAGCGTTCTAAAAAAATCGATATATCATAAATGTGTTGTTTCTTAGCCAGAAATAGAAGAGAGAGCATTTATTTCATTTTCGAATTACATGACATCAAATGTTACATAATGACAAATTATCAATTCAAAACTATGTTTAAGTACAAGATTATTGAAATTCAATTATAATTATTATTTTTACTTTAAAAAAAATTACATGAAAAAATGCATTCGGCTCTTGAAAGGAGTACACCAGTCCTTACAGAGTCAATGCCCAATCTAATCTGGATATTATATGCATGCCACTATCTACCTAACTTCAGCTTCATTGCAAAGCACAGAAAGGTAATCTTCAGCCAAAATGTGACGCAATTAAGAGTCCAATTATGGAAATGATTCTTTGAAAATCTGTGCATGTGAAAATAAAGTATTATTCAAAGAGGAACAGTCAAAGTATATTCTGAAATTGGTAGACCCCTGTTTGCAAATGAAGTGCTAAAATACTGTTACGTCTGTTGCTGTTTTTATAGGCGCTATATATATAACTGGTTACGGAAGTGGATATATTGTTGATTCTTGTGTTAACGAATATTCTACAACCTTGGAGAACTGGCGGGAGTTTCGCCATATGTAACTAACACGGTAAGCTAGACACACCCACAAATATAAACTTATTCGAAACAAAGTTTGACATTAAAATAAATATATAACAAATTCGTTATAGCAACACATATCTGATACTACAAGTCACGCATATTTCTAAATACAAATTCAACCCAAACAACTGTTCATATTAAAAATAAATATATAATAATAAATTCATTTCAGAGGATAAGTCAAATTTTAATATTGTTACGATCCTGTATTACCCAATTATTTCATACCTAAAACAAAAAAAAACAAAAAAAACTACTGCAAATTTTGTAGTTTTAGTAAACATTATATATATATATATATTCAAAACTCTATTTAAAAAACAAAACAAAAAAAAACCTTCGCACTTGCACTTTCCAGTCCTTATCCAAAAGTCATAAGTACAATAAACAAATTAACTTGTATACAATAACTTACAAAAGATATAACACAAAAAAATACTCTTGGTAGATCCACGTAGGAACTGTTTCTCCAAATCAAACACCTACAAGGCTGTCATGATATTGTTACGACAGTGGAAGTCACGTGACGCTGGTAACACGTCATGAGTTTCTAGAAGAATCATCACTTTTCCTGGCAACTCTAATCTTTTCCAGGCGCCCTCTATTTTAGTGTATAAGCCCGCCAAATAAGCGGAGATATAATGGCAGATAGACAGGTATAGAGACAGATATTTGAGTCAAGTGAGCAGTAGTGACCGTCAGTAAATTGCGTGAATTGTTGTGAACTATAGCGTGTGATTAAGTTTAAAGTAATTGTGGAAATTCTGTTTATTGCAAAGTTGTATTGAGAAAGAATAAACTAGTTTTATTTAAGAACGGACTTGTATCACTGAAGTTCCTCGGGAAGAATTTATACCGGAAATTAAAAAACGACCAGAGACGTAACAAATTGGTATCAGAGAGTGGGACAGAAAAAAAAAGATGGAAACGAGAAGTGGCAAATCAAACTACAGCTTAGCAGATTTGATGGCAGCAATACAAGAACA